GAATTGAGTGGTGAATGTAGAGGTAGACGGAGAAAGGACCGAGTCGTGGTCAGAAGTCGTATAAGAACTCGGCCTCGTTGTGGCACGAACGAGGTATATCCGGGCACCTCCGCGGTGGCCCTAAAATCCCAGAAAAAACGCCAAAGTACGGAGACAAGGCATAGAATCCCCTGGGCAAAAGGTCTGGCTTTGCGGTGGCCAACGGTGCCCAGCAGAAAAAAAACCGGTCCCATCGGAGGGCCAAACAACGTCACCAGTAGGTGATAGATACAACGGGTGGGCGATAGATACAACGGGTGGGTGACCAACGTCGCCAGTGGGTGATAGTAGACTTGAGAAAGGCGACGAGCGAAGGCCCGCGAAGAGACGAAGAGCGAGGAGAGGAGAGTTTGCGCAGAAACAAGTGAGACGAAAGAGCAAGTGGTGTGGAAACTTAACAAGTCACACAAGACATTCTCAATTTTCTCACAAGTCTCGCTCTTTTTTCTTACAAGTCTCACTGTTTTGAATCGCAAAAAAAACATATCATTGAGACTGAATACCAACGGTGCGCGACATTACAAGGACGACAAGACTACAGGGGTAAAGATAGTAAATATATGAGAAGAGTCCATAGTATAGTACAAGGCAACAAAACGACAGACGTGGATATACAAACGCGGAGTACAAGGCAACAAAACGACAGGAGGGTAGGTGCACGGCACATCGCCGAACAGTCGAAACACGACCGGACTCTGAAGAATGGTTAGACGCAGAAATAATTGAAAGGGAGCGCTCACCCTCATGCCAGCGTTGGAGCGACGGGGTCTTGAAGGCAACGGGGGCTTGAATAGATCCGCCTATGTTAGTATCGGGGAGGGGGGGGTGGAAGAGAACATGAGGGTTAAAGCGGTCGGGTCTTTGAGGACCTGGCGCCACTCGGGTCTCTGAGGACCTGAGGCAGCGAAGCGTCGGGTCTTTGAGGACCTGAGGCTATAACACGCTCGGGTCCTTGAGGACCTGAGGAAGAAGCGCCCGGGTCTTTGAGGACCTGAGGCTCCAACACGGTCGGGTCTTTGAAGACCTGACGAGACTCGGGTCTTTGAGGACCTGAGTTGACCCGGGTCTTTGAGGACCTGAGTCGACGAAACATCGGGTCTTTGAGGACCCGAAGTAGGAAAACATCGGGTCTTTTAGGACCTGACGACGAAGCGTTCGGGTCTCGGAGGACCTGAAGAGCAAGCGCCCGGGTCTTGGAGGACCTGAGCGGAAAAGAGTGGGAGGGGCGGAAGGAGAGGGAGAGGGGAGGGGGAGGGGAAAAGGGGAGGGGATGGTAAAGGGCAGGGAGGTATGGGACACGAGAAGGAACGGGGACGAGAGACCAGAAGACAATCTGAGACGGAGATCAGCGGAGAACAAAAATAAAAAAGGAGACATACGGAGGAGGGAGGGAAGGGACACGAGACGGTGCGACGGCGGCGAGGGACCAGAGGAGAATCTGGGATGGAGATTAGCGCGAAAGATAAGTGGGGAAAAAAGGAGGACGGACCTTGCAACAATCACTGAGCAAGGTCAACGGAACAGTCGTCGAGCCAAAACCCGCGCTCAAAGAGCCGGAGGCAATGGACAAGACGGAGGCAGACAATCTGGGATGGCAATTAGCGCGAAAAAATGGGGGAAAAAACGAGACTGACCTTGCTGAGCGAGGTGGACGGAACTGGCGACGAGCCAGAGCCCACGCTCCAGGAGCCGTAGGCAATGGGCGAGTCGAGACAGGCGCGATGGGCAGGGAGAGCGACGAGGCGGACAAGGGCGCACCAGGGGGATGGTGGTGTGGGGGGAAGGAAGATGAAAGAAGGACGTGGCAAATTTGCGCTTGTGTGTCTCGCGCACGGGCCATTCACACGCACGGACCCTTTCTTCCACGTTCCTCATCATTCTACTCGTCTTTCTCACTCCTCGTCGAACTCTCTTCCGTCATTGTTCAAATGGTATCCCTTCTCGTCCCTCGCCTCAGTGGACGACACTCACCCAAGCCCAGTCCGACTCAGACAGTGACGACAGCGTCGAAGTCGTGCCCGACCCCGACTTGCAAGTACTCGACAACGCTGGGCGGGAACAGTCGCCCGCGACCCAGGACCATGTCGCGTACCTCAAACGCTTTCACCTCGTGCAACCACCATTCCAGGAGGGGGCCAAAAAACACCGGGAGAGGGACAACGTACGTTCCTCCTTTTTTCTTCTGGCGGGCTCACTCATTCGGACGGTGCATCAAGGCCATGATTGCATATTTCAAGGAGGCGCCCAGCCTCAATGACCCCTCCAAGACAAGCCTCCAATTGTTGCGAAGAGTCGCGAAGCAGGACAGGCAAGAGCCTGGTTGGGCTCGCAAACTCCGTTGCACGGTTCGTCGACGATTTTCAGGTTTCAAAAGTCAATATAGCCGTCCACAGGTCTGCTTTCAAGATGGCAGAGCGATGGTGATATTGTCGTGCGGATGCCGCGACACGATATTTCACCAGGTGCGTTGCTCGAGCTCGAGTTGTCTAACGCACGAAGAACTCATGCCCTTGCGAGCAGGGATGTGTGGAACGCTGGCACAAGAAAGAGAACGCGTCGTGCACGAAAACTTTGCGCTGTAAGTCCTCCTCTCCACCGCCCGGGGTACTGCGCCTGACCCATGCACAGGCCCCACCTGCCGCGAACGCACCAAACCCGTCAACCTCGAGTGGGCGACCAAGTCCGCCGCAGAGCAGGAGGCCGGCCTTAAGGGCGACAAAGCGCGCAAGCACGCAGCTACGAAGAAGAAGCGTCGCACGGACCCGATCGCCCGCGCCAAGCAGCAGCTGAAGCACGAGCGTCGCTCGCAAGAGGTTCGGGCCAAGCGGGAAGCGGCGGGCAAGGTGGGGCCGGGGCCGTCTTGGTTGGCGTAGGTCTACGCATCGCTGCACTCTTTTTTCTTGGACTTCATCTAGCCGTACTTGTTAAATGTCGATTGTGAATGTAAAATATATTTTGAATTGTAAACCGTTGTGATTCTACAGTGAGAAATAAGTAGTGTCTTCAAATGTGCCCGGCTTGCCCCCCCCAAAAAAAAATTAACGACCATACTTGTGTCGAGATCCTCTAGAGAATCCTGATCACGATGTGACCATGGTCGGCACATTTTCAAGTCGACGAAACAATTCTTTAAAAGGCCCAGAAAATTCGGGCAGCTGCCCAACATGTAAGGAATGCAGGGAGACCCAAGAGTCGGCGGCGCGGGGCACGACTGTGACCACAAAACCCGCCAAAAAAGGGATTGATCGCCCAACAGCGTCCCAAGTAGGTGATATTTGTCGCCAGTAGGTGATATTTGTCGCCAGTAGCTGACCAGTGTCACCAGTGGGTGATACAATGTTCTTAGCGGACGCGCTGGGTACCTAGTATCGCACCAGAGAAGCCAAAAACAATGATTCTTCAGTGGTAGCATGAGATACAAAGACGGTACAATATAGCTAGTAGGCAACGGGGCGGCGACAAGTAGATTTCGATAGTACTTTAAAAAATCAGGAGCATTTCAGCGGCAGCAAGCGGAACGGAGATGTGGTGGAGAAGGGACTATGGGGAGAGAAGCGAGGAGAATTAGAAGGAGGCAAGAAAAAAAGACGAAGGGCGCACCTGCAGTCATAGAAGCCCGTCGGCTATGAGGACGGCGATACAACCCTCGACGGCTTCGATGTCGGCGCAGCAACATAGCACACTGCCCTGCATCTCCGTCTTGATGTAGGCTTTGTACGCCGTGTCACTAAACATGATGGGTTAAAAGGTGGGTTTCATGTGTGAGAGGTGGGAGGAACGTACCGATCCACTGTAACTTCGCCGTCCTGAGAGACGTATCTCAGGTGGTCGCCAGGGTTGAGCTCCAGCATCTCCCGTACTTTCGCCACTGCGTCGTTGAAGTCCGGACGAACCACCGCGTCGACGCGGACGCTGAGCATTTGGTCCACCGCGTGTCTACAAAGACGGGTTAGGCAACGAGGCGCCGACGACGCAATGAAGCCACGTACTTGTTTCTCGTCAGGAAGACGACCTTGGGTGCCTGTTGGAGGCACCACCACACGGACGAGCGCCAGCTCGTGTCGTCGTCGGAGGGGATGCTCGGCCGAGCGGTGGGCGCGGATGGCGTGGCGCTGGGGCCGGAGCTTGTGCCTGCGACAGCGTTGGGGGCGGCGCCGCTCGCGAACTTGCAGGGCGGGTCGCTCCAATGGCAATAGTTCCCCGTGAGGTACAGGTCGAGGGAAGATCTGGACTTAAACGAGTGAGGATCTTGGCCGGTGCGCTGGGCGGCGTAGGCCGCCGAGCTGACGGTATTAGCTAGCGCGCTGTAGAAAGAGTGGTAAGAGAACGTACTATTCGGTGTATATCGCGATGGGGCCGTCCCGCCCCTCAGCCGCTGTAAAGTATTTTTTGCGTCCATCGGAGTTTTGGAATTTATGGTCCATGAATTTATCGTGCGGGTAAATGTCGAACGTGCAGTTTTCGTGGCCCGGTAGCGGCTCGAGGGGCTTGTACACTTGCGGGTGGATCAAGTCGGTATGAGGTTTCGGTTTCGGCCACCTGGTTTTTTCGCCACTGCGCAGGCTGATGGTCGGGGTCGGGGGGCTCGACATTGTGGTGGTGGTAGTAGAGCAAGCACGGCATTTACTGCGCTTTAGCTGCGCTGGGTAACGTGCTCAGAGAGTCTTCTTTTTTCTAGAGGGATCTGTGTTAACCAAGGATTCGGTACGAAGCAAATATTTCCAAGACTCACAAATGGGCGAGCGACCCGAACGCGGGCTGAGGTCCGAGGGCCTGGCGCGCAGCGAAGAAAGGCGCCAAGCGCCGTTGACGGCTGCCAGTCATGGGGACGAGCGGGCGACACTTGAAGAGAGGAACTGCAAGAAAAGAAGACTTGATTTGTTTGACGGGTTTTGATTACATTGCCTTTGTACTGGAACAACGGAGGTCCAACCTCAAAAAAAACAACGATGCAGAATGGATAGCTCCCGTCAGAATCGAACTGACGACCTTGATGCGAAGCAGTGGGAAGAACGAAGTGCAAGATGACGCGCTACCACTACGCCAGCGAGCTGTTCAATTTATGCTGCAGTACTTGAAGTAGTCCGTATCAAAACTCAGAATTTGAATTTAAAAAAAAAATCAAAGTACATTTTTCTCAAGATAGAGCGCAGCGTAGTATACAGCGTAGAGACAGATGTGTATATATGAAAAGAAGACAGTGCCCGACTCTCCCTCTCGCAGCGCGCAAGGCCACCTAGTCGTCGGTGTCGTCGTACTCCTCGTCGCTGCTGCTCCCGTTCTCCAGCCAGTTGCGGAGGACGGAGGCGTCGCGATGGCCGCGGATGCGGATGTCGTCAAAGCCACGGTCTTGGGCGATGCGGAAGGCCGCCGCTCTGGAAATGATCATGAGTAGGGTCCACGGGCGGACGAAAACAAAAACAAAGAAAACTCACCTGGAACCACAAATGATATCGGTCCCGAGGACCGCCCAGTGCTTGCCCGTCGCGTCCGCGCGCTCGAGACGCTCGCGCCGGCACTCGTTGCCGTGCCAGCGAAGGCATCCGAGCACCCAGTGCCCTTTGGCCTCGTCCCAGGTTTTGGCGGACTTGTTGACCCCGTTGTGGACGCCCTCCGTTTGCTCGCGGGCGGTTTGGCTGAAAAGAAATGGTAAGCAGAGAAGAAAAATGAGAAGGGGAATACGAACGCGGAGGTATAGATGGCCTCGTTTCGCGCGGGGATGGCGGCATAGAACATACACCCCGCCTCGAGGGAATGGGTCAACACGTCGATGCCGGGGCGGTCGGGGCAGAACGGCGGCGTACACGTGCGCCGGTGGGGGAGAGGCGCCGTATGCGGTCCATTAGGTCCATGCGCATTGTTGAAGACGCAGAGGTGCTGTGCATTGCAGATGTCGCAACGCCCATCCAAACAATGGTGGGCCGGCGCCGTGGGGACGACGTTCGCTGGCTGCCATTGCAGGACGACCGGGCTGGCGGCGGCAGCGGTGTTGGCGGCAGCGGTGTTGGCGGACGCGGCGGCTCGCGAAGCAGCAGGGGGCGCGGCGGTCGGAGCACCGGGGGGCGCGGGCGGAGGCACGATGTGCTGAGGGCGAGGGGTCGCGGTGTAGTATTGGGTCTGTGGCATCGTGAGTGAGGGATAAACGCCCAGGGACGGGGGACTCACGATATATAAAGGAGGCGCGCGGCGGAGATCGGACGACCTGGATTTCGACGGCCAACAGCGAGGGAAGCTGCACGAGGCCAGGGCCTGAATCAGAAGTCGGCGGCGAACGCCGTGGACAGGCGGAAGTCGACCTCCGTGGACAGGCGGAAGTCGACATTCGACACGCGCACGCGCCACTGGAGGTCGCCGTCCCCGGAGCGCCATTGGATTGGGAGCTACCGTTGAGAGCCAGATGAGGAGCGAGGAGGAAAATAAAGTCACCAGCGACCGTCGAGCGCTCCAGCCAAAGTGGGGGACGCGGCGGCGGCGGAGCTCGGAGGGAGAAGAGCAAGAACGCGGTGAGCTCCGTGCACGAGGTGTGAGAAGTCGGCGGGGACCTGCGTTGCTGGGGAAAAGGCGGAAGTCGTTGCCAACGTCGGCGCCACTGGACATCACCGTGCCAGGTGTCGCAGTGGACACCACCACGAGCGGGGACGAGGCAGAGCGGGGCGACGAGCAGAGCGGGCGAACAGGTTCACAGATGAGGGCGGCCACGAAAGCTAGACGATGGAGGACGGAGGAAATGGTGGGCGTGGTCGTTCTGAGAAGACGAAGTACGCCACTACCACGTTTTTGACATGTGGGCGACGGCGATCAAACGTCCGGGGAATGCCGCACCACGTTTCGCGGCGACGGAGGGCAAAGTCGCGCCGGGGGAAGGAAAGGAAAGGAAAGGGCGGGCGCGCGTGCATATCGTCGTAGAGCCACGAAATCCAATAGACCGAATTGAAAAACAAACGGGAAAAACTAGGTGGACTTGGGTAAGATAACGCCCGCCCGCCCCTCGTCCCGCAGCTGCCGGCCAACCTGCACCTGATGAGTGTACTTGGTGGAGGCAGAGCGCACGTCAGCGTTGGCCTTGTCGATCTGAAGCCGGACCGCCGCCTGTGCCTCGTGCGCCCTGAGGTGCGGAGCGTCGACAAGACGGAGGAGTTGGTCCAGCGCCTTCAGAGCAGCGCGGTACCTCTGGTCGCACTTCTGCATGTTGCTGTTGTGCGTCGCGACGCCCCGAATTTGCGCTTCTACACGGTGCGCTTGGTTATTGCCTGCGTGTGAGGTCAGAACCTGGACGGGAAGCCGCAGTCAAGGCGCCGCTCACTTCGTCGTACGACGTTTTTGACCGCATTCGTGACGGGATGGGCGGCGTAATAGGAGCGGCGGATGCCGTGCGCCTCGTATTCCTGCGCCAACGAGATAAGGGAAAGGAGAGGTGGGCGAGGAAGTCAGCACTGACCATGAGCGCGACGCGCTGCATCTCGTCGTAGTCTTGACCGCGTAGTAGCCCGCCCAGGAGAGTGCAGTGCACGCCCTCGCGATTGACGTCGCGATGGACGGTCTCGATGAGGTTGGTGTGTGGGTCGCCCGCGCGCCAGACGTCGAGGGGGATGAAGCTGCGTTGCCAGCAGATGCCAGCGAACGCGAATTGGCAACTTTCCTTGTCGCGAACCCAATCTGAGGGACGGTGAGCGGGAGAGAGAAGTGGTGGAGGCGGTGACGCACCTTGACCGGCTCTGCCGCCCTCGCGACGAATCTGCTCGAGGGTGCCATCCCAGTCCGGGTGTATGACGCACGCGAGAGACCGCATTTTTTGTCGGACGGCCTCTGGGACGGCGCACTGTTGTATGTTGCGGAAGTTGTGAACTCGACAGACGCGGTAAACGCGTTGCAGATGCTCGTATGGGGTGAGCGAGCGCAGCGTGCGGTGTGGCTCATGCATGTCCATTGCGTCGGCGGGGAGCTGAGCGGCTCGGGCGACGAGGTGGAGTCCAAGACCTGCATAGAAAGAATGGGCACGGTGAGGACGGGGAGACGAGCATAGCGCACCTTTGGCTTGGCCGCGATGTTGGTCGGCGCCCCACTGGAGTATGAGCCCGGCCCTGGAATCGTCGGGGTGTTGTCCATGGAGATGGCGCCACAGCAGCGGGGTCCCAGTGTCCTTTTCGACGAGTTTGCTGAGCTCGTCGAAGATCCGTTGATGCACGGCGGCGGTTTGGCGCGTCACGTAGACTCTGCAGAAGACAACACCTGAAAGGACGGGTCAAATTGAGGCAGGGAAGAGAGAAAGAAGAAAGCACGGACTGGTGTTGGCATCGCGGTCCATCGACGCTATCTCGAACTCCTCGAAGCCTACGATCCTCTTGAAGCCGATGTCGCTTTGGAGGTACTGGGCTTGCTGGAGGCGCTTGCTCGAATCGGGCGTCATGCAGATTATGATCCGCGTGGTGTTCGTCGCGGATGGCGCGTCACCGTCCTCCTCGTGGCGGGCGAGGTCGGCATCGGGGATCTCGAGGACGACTGGGATGTAGTGCTCGTGCGCGGGGACGTCCCGGTCCTGGATTTTCTTCAGGTATTGAATGCCTACAGAAGCGCCTGGTAAGTCATCTGCGGGACAGATAAGGTCCAAAAGAATCACCTTCCCAATCGGTGCCTTTGGGGAAGTGCTCCCGCCTCGCAAGCGCTACGTACGCGCCCAGGTGGGCGCGATTCGCGAGGGACGGATGGAGCGCGCTGCGCGTCGGGTTGGCGAGATCAGGAAAGAGGTTCGCAAGGAAGCTCGTGACGGTCGGATGGCGGAGAAAGTGGCGGGCCGTCATGTCGGGGAGATCATGGCGCATAGCGCGGAGGAGCCGGGTGATCTGCAGGTGGGCGCGCTGCGGCGTCTTTTCCGGCAGGGGAATGGGATGGCGGTGCGTGCCGAAAGACGTTACGAGGACGAAGGGACATCGGTGCTTGTTGACGGGGAACCAGATGCGAAACTTCACGTTGCAGTCGAGATGGCACAGCTGCTGTTGGGCAAGGCGACCGTCGACACGGTGCTCGATCGCTGTTAAAAATACTCAAGGCCGGGAAAAGCGGCTGGAAACAGAGACCACTCACGGCAGTATACGGTCTGCGCTGAGTGATTGAGAAGGGTGTGGCATTGCGCCAGAGGCCCGACGTCTTGAGCCGCGGCGGCGGCTTCGATGCGCGCGATTTCGTCCGTGTTGTTCAGGAAGACGGCGGCGATGTAGTCGTCGTCCAAGCCACCGTCTTGAATGCCGAAATCCGCAAAGTGGTCGGGGGTCCGCGGCGAGTAATGCTCACAGCTGAGTGAGGGGTCTTAGCCAGGCGGTGAAGCAAAAAGCGGGAGACGCACCTCAAGTACGCGCGCGCCCGACCATCACCATGGTGAGGGTCGGGGTACTCGTGGTAGTGAATACGGCCTTCGCACATCGGCGGCGGCGTGTACCCGCGGCGGAAGGACTGCTGCATCGCCTGGTCTGCCTCCCACTGCTTCAGCTCTTCGCCGCTACGGTGCGTCGGTTGCTGGCGGCGCCGGCGACAGCCGACCTTGCGTACGGCCGTTATGTACGACGCCGTTTTGAGGAGGATGTCGCGGCGGGGGCACGACAGGCGTTGACGAGCAGCGCGCTCGGCTGCTAGGCGGGCTTCGATGTCTCCGAGCGTAGCCGACGTATGGTGGTGGTCTGGTCCGGTAAGTGTCTCTACGTCGTTGAGGGGGCACGCTTTGACGCCTTGACCTGAGAGGAAGGTTAAACTGGACAACGAGGGCCTTGAAATCAAGACTCACAGGTGCTGTGTCTCTTCTTGCACGGTACGGGAACGCCGGCGTCGTCGACAAGGAGGTCCGTGTAGAAAAACTCGTTTTTTGCCGACCCGCCGTTGGGGGAACCGGTCGAGTACGCGATGTCCACCCACGGTAGTTCAGGATCGGCGGGGTTCATTGGAAGCAGGTGACCGACAGGTGCGTCAACGCCGCTTTCCGGTGTCAAGCGTATAATTGGTTATACACGTGGTCCTCTGGGAATGACTTTATCCGAGAGTTTCACGTAAGGTTCGAATTTCCCA